GGAAGTCCTCGTCAGCTGATGTTTGTCTTGATCACCATCACAAACTCTGCTCAATCGAACACGCAAATCCCTCTCCTAGCTTCGCGAGAAATGGCAAGGTAATTGATCGGCGAGCCTGACACGGTGTACATATCGACCAATTGGCCTCCAAGGACCGTGTTTTGCTTGGACGTAGCATGTGGAGCTCACATGGAGAGGTTCATCAGCTTGGCTGGATTGCATGTAAATGCCCCCATATGCCAATTTAATTCCCCCTCCTCTGCATTCAATAAACCCTCCAAAATGAAGTACTCCCTCCTTTCTGGTTTAGACTAGTCACAATGGGAGTAATTTAACTAGTAACATTACACATTCCAATACAAGATTGCTTATGTGTCAGTTAATTAATGAGGAGAGAGGGGTTTGTGATAACTTAGTAGTTACTGTAACATCACACATTTTAATGCATAATGAGTCTATAGCCTAATAAATGAACTCTTTCATGATATCACTCAAATGTTACTACCCAGTATGAAGGTAGTAACATAGACTACTAGCATCGGCAAGTTACTACTCTATGTTACTCTCCACTGTGAGCAGTCTTATAGGGCTTATCTCAAAATCTTAGTTTTTCTATTTTATAAAGCTCAATTTGGTTGCTCCCCATCACAAGTTCAGATTTTAAGGTGCATTAAATAATTGCATGCAAATATTAAGAATACTAGTATTTCTGCAGAGGATAAGCTCGATATCTGCAGTGTACAACTTTGCAGGATTGAGCTTTTGCTTCGATAAATTTCTCTTTTCTCTGTTTCGGAAAATAGAAGCTTTTGAAAGTTTTTTTACCTAACATGAAATTGGGCAATGATTGATACATGTAAGCTTATTTTTTCCTTGTAATACAACGATAGGTTTTTTTAACCGTTCACGATGATCTTAGTTGCACAGTATATGATTATTTCCTAACCTTAGTCGTAATCTAAGATGTCCTCCATGCGGCCGTCTCGGTCTCCTTTCTCTTTCCCATCCGGTATCATCACGAGCGACTAGTGGGTAGCCGCCCCTTTCGTTAACCTTAATTACAATAGGTCCTTGTTTTGTTTAGGTTTTCGGTTTTTGAAAATGTTAAAGAGATAATTAACCTTTGCTCTTGGCTCTCTCGGCATGGCGTGAGCTGAAGCGTATTTTTAGATAAAATGTATTTTATTAACTCAAAATATAGAATTAATCAGATACAAAGCATGATAAACAACACTTGATCTATGCATAACTAAGATGCATAAAAAAACACCAACAATCTGACAAAAGATAATTAAAAATCGACACATCGGCAACAGTAGAGTCATATAGGGGACCCAAACTATACCTATGTCGAATGAGATGGTGGACGATCCGGAGATTATGTTACCACCAATGTTTGGTAGAAACCTCTCTATTCACCACCTTAAGCCGTATACAGACCGTATTGAATAATGATTGCTACCTTCGATATACCATAGACCACGATCCGAAGTGAGCACATATAGAGAAAAATAACTTGCAACGGAGAAGAGTTTTGCCACTTAAAACAAATCATTTCTATATAGCCAAAAGCGACTGTAATATGGCATATGCTCCCACCCTTACTAGCATTCAAAACATATTTGAAATACTGTCCGACCAATGACCAAATATATTGGCAACATTTCTGGGAAAATACAAATTGAAAGCTATCTGGATGATTGACCGTGTAGAATGCGTAAACTTGCACGGGAAAAATAGGTGTTTGATTGTTTCATCGTGAGCTGAAGCGTTGGATTCGCTACATGAAACTCAAAGTTGGTCTGAGTTGGCCATGTCGACGACAACCGTTTTCTCCTAGGGTGGCAACCACACGACCTACATGGGAGTGGTGGGGTGGTTCTTTTACCCATGGGATTTGGGAACGCCCCATGCCTCTTCCTCTCCATGTCGCGCGGTGTCATCCCATTCTCTGGAAAATTGATCGCCGTCGCTTGCCGGCGAACAGATTTTGACAATACATCGCATCATTGCGTCAAGCTTCCAGGTAGGTTAATTTCCACAAACCTTGTTTTTCGCTCAGGTTTGCATCTGCTCGTTGGGGTCGAAAGACACGAGGT